TTTTTTGCTAGGAAATTAATTTTTTTAACATTTTTTTTTTTTTTAAAGCAGACACCCTAGTGAATAAAATGGTGGGTGGTACAATTTTTTTTATGTCACATAGTACTCGCACAGCGAATTTTCAAAAGCAATTATTTGGTAAGATATAAAAGAAGATAGTATGCCAAGTAAATAAATACCAAACATGACATGATTTAAAACTGCGCATGCTCCGTGCAATGGCGACAAACTGCATATGTTTTTAATATCCATAGGCAACATTTTAAAAGCCTTTTCAAGCTATCATTTTAGATTTACAGAGGAGGTCTAGTGTTAGAATTTCTGCCCTTAATCATAAAGGTTCCCTTATGATTAAGTCGATGACGAAACGCATCAAGGGAAGTGACGTCAAGACGCATACGGGAACCGGAAGTTGACCGGTGGCCATTTTGGAAAAGGGAAAAAGACTATCTACTTGTCCCTGGACGTTTCCTGGATGGCAGCAAGGCTACTGCACGGTATTTAAGCGGTCTAAAAGTTTTAATAATGTGAGCATTTTGAATAAAGTTATTTTACTGGCATATTTCTGGCGGTATCACACTATTCTGTCCCTCATATGTTTATATCCATATGGTGCCTGGTATATGGAGAAATGGAACATCATGACTTATGGACCTAGATAGTACCTTGAATACAGTGTAAACCTTGGGGAGCTCTACAGGAGGGCCGTCTCCCACCAGATTTTATATGATATTGAAAGCGAGTTTGTTTTGGATTATTGGTAAGGGTATGCATTCCTTACTGCAATTAGAAGTGTCACAGTGTTGGTTTGTTTTGGAGCACTGAAGAGTGATTCACATACATAGTGTCCTTCACTGTTTGGATTCACGATTCCTCACTTTGTTCACCTTTGCACTAATTACCAATTTTATTGGTTATTCACTTGAGTGTTGTCACTATTTTGTATGTGGTTAAAAAGGTAATACACTATGTGATATTTCTTTTTTTGAGGGTATATCATCGTGGAAAGCATTGGAAGTATTTGAAGGAGTATATAATTTTTGGATACTTTTTTTTATCACTATTATCACATAAGAAGAAGATATACAATATGCTATATATTCTAATTTTATTTAATGTGTGGACTTATAGGATTTTGATTTTCATTGTAAGGACACTGTTCTGGAATATAATTCAGGCTTGAATAAAAATTGTCCACGTATAAGTGGTACCCCATATAGAAAAAGGAGGACACCAAGTCCCAAACTATTTTGCCACTGCTCCCCATGTAGTCTGGGCATCCAGGGGGCTCCAAGTAACTTTCTTTTCCCTCCTAAATCTGAAACTTATATGTATAGCCTGTTGCCCTCTCACAGGTCTTGTACATCTTGACTCCATATCTGGCATGCTTGCTGGGGGAGAAATTGTTTAAATGCAAGGCGGCCAGAAAAATTAATGAGGGACTCATCAACGCAGAGATATTTTGCTTGGGAGTATAGACATCTGCAAATTTTTGGTTAAGGTGATTTACGAGGGGCTGAATTTTGTGGAGTCAGTCAGTCAAATTCAGGGTCACCTTGAGGATGACAGAGTGTATTGTCATTGAAATGCATAAACACATTATATACTCTCATATCTATGCCTGGCTATGGCAGCAGAGAACACGGGCATGTGAAGAATTGGGTCTGTGGACCAATACAACCGCAATTTTTTTTTTTTTAGTAATGCCCATGTTGAGGGTTAGGCCCCAAAATAATGTAAATCCGGAAACCATAATGGGTTTCCATGTGAATGGTCTGGCAAGATTTGAATTTGGGTTGACGGCGATAAATTTTTGTGCATATAAATTGCTTTGATCCACAATCAATGCATACAGTTATTCCATGAAAACAGCTCCAAAAAATCAAGGGGAGTAGTTGAATTTGCTGTTTCCACCTGAATTCTGGGTTGGGCAGTGAATGGGGGAAGTACGGGTGCTGCAGAAGTTGTGGGCTGCCAATCAGGCTTTGCAAGTACATCCGGAAGGATACTAGGAGCTCTACGGGCCTGTGTGCAAATTCTTTGTGGTTGCAGGACAATACTTGTGCTCACCAGCTTGTACTACACTTGGAACTTGCCCAGGGGCGGACTGACCATTTGGAAACTCGGGCATTGCCCGAGGGCCTGGGGTCAGTAGGGGGCCCCATGAGATGCCCCTGGCACCTTTCTCATAGGCTTTTTTGAGTTTGGGCAAGGACACAGGGGCCCCATGATCCCCTATTTCCCGGGGGCCCCATGAGTTGTCAGTCCGTCCCTGGACTCGCCACTTCACCAAGTGATACTGCAGTGCTGGTATGTGAAAGACCAGGATGTACTAGGCCAGGTCACCAAAAGGTAGCGCGGCACTAGTACTGGCACTCTGCTGCATATGAGAGTCATCAAAATTTACCGGCAAGTGCTAACAGAGATCAGGCCTGATTCTGCGAACACTGCGGTTTTGTGTGCAATTTATCAAGTGACAGTGACCTACTTGGGGGAGAGGGGGGGGGGGGGGGGGGGGTAAGCGTAGGGTCTAAATGCAAGTGCTGGCAGGTGCCGGGGCTGATCCCGCTAATGCTGTATTTTTGGGGACGCTATACTAATGTGAACGCTGGTATAGTGCTGATCTGATCGAAGATATTGATCCGTTCAGACACTATACTAGCAATGGAGGTTTATTGTACATGAGCGTGCTCCTGGCAATTGAGGGGTTAAATGTGATTACTGGTTTACTGACGAGCAATCTGATGCTATCTGAGAGGGGTGTGAAAACCACGGGAGCATGAATCATGTGTATATATATGCGACTTTGTGCACCCGTGCCACCCTGTAGTAGTATTTCTGCTATAGGGCAGTCAGGAAGCGGTTCCATAAGCAGTTTGTGCTAAGTTGCTGCGTTACTTTAACTGACAACTGTGCCGTCATGCAACGCTGCACCAAAATTAAATTTACGTCCTTTTTTCCCCCAAATTGAGCGTTCTTTCGGTGGTATTTGATCTCCTGTGCGTTTTTTATTTTTTGTGCTACAAAAAAAAGACCGACAATTTTGAGAATAAAAACCATATTTTGGACTTTTTGCTACAAAACATGTCCAGTAAAAAAATTTAAAAAATCAAAATTCTTCATAAATTTAGGCCATAATGTATTCTGCAACATGTCTTTGCTAAAAAAAATCCCATCAGAGCCCATCACGGAGGACGGCTGAGGTACTGCAGATGACCCAGGAGAAGGGGATTCCAGACCAGGTTGTGTGCATCCTTAAAGGGACCTCCGGCTGACCACATTACTTATACATGCGTATTATTATTAAGCATCTGGTGAGTGCGTAATCTTACCACATTCCTGGCACATCACTGAATATTGATTGTAATACGCGAAGCACCGATTTGAGATCATATTTACCTGGATCTCCACTTTTGTCACTTTATGGACATTGAATTGTCATTTTTCATTTAATTGACAGCCACTTATTGTCATTTGTTCACTACTGTCACTTTATTATAATAAGCACTTTATTTTCATGATGTTTATTTATGAGTGGTTCATTATTAGCAATATATTACAATAGCACTATATTTGCACCTTGTCACTTTCATGGACATTCTATTGTCACTTTTGTGGAATTGACAGTCATTTATTATTGTCACTTTATCACAACAGCTATAATAGCATTTCATTTGGATATTTATTTGAGATTGGTTCATCAACAGTACTTGATTTGCACTTTATATTGCGCATTTTTTTGATGGTCATTAGTTTTTTAGTCCCGTTTAGCTCTGCACCTTTTATATATTATGTTTGTCTTGGAGGTTTTTTTGGTTACCTTTCTGGTGCTTTAGTGCTCGCTTGTCCATTTATATTTTATGTCTTCTCTTCTGATCCCAATCAAACACCTATAGGGAATTCTGAAGAGACAAGCTGAGCATCACTTTCCATCCAGCATCCAGGCTCTAAAAGAGATCGTTCTTGAAGAATGGACAAAGATAGACGTTGCAATATGTCACCAACTTGTTCATTCCATGCCTAGAAGACTTGCTGCTGTCCTTACACATCATGGAGATCATACATACTAGATGTAGTAGTTTTTGTTGTGAGGTGTATTCATTTTTGCATCAACTAATTTGAGTAAAGAAGATTTTGTAATCAGTTATAATAAACCTTACTTTCATTTCATGTATTGAGTTAAACAAATGTTCTATAAGACGCTGCTTTGGCAGAATTGTGGAAATTGTGTTTATTGAGATATTGATTAAAGTCTTACTTTTCAAAAGGGGTGTACTCATTTATGCTGAGCGCTGTATCTGTGTGAGGGAAATACTCCACCTGGTTGCCTCCACCTCAGGAGCCCCAGGCACAGCCCATGTCTCTCACAGAACCCCAGCCTTGGCTGCAGCTAATATACACAAATGGAGGAGTGAGTGGTCACAGGGAACAACCCATGTCTGCTCCCAACACCTCCAATGTGACCAGGGGTGGACTGACCATTTGGAAACACTGCCCGAGGGCCCGGGGTCAGTAGGGGGCCCCATGAGATGCCCCTGGTACCTTTTTCGAGTTTGGGCAAGGACACAGGGGCCCCATGATCCCCTATTGCCCGGGGGCCCCATGAGGTGTCAGTACACCCCTGAATGTGACAGACTCAGGAACAAGACACTACTAGGGGGGATGTATTCCAGTATCAATGAGAGACACCAAGCAGTCTTGTTATAATGTCTCTGGCACAATGAGCAGGGAGGAGACCCCACACCTCAGAAATCCATGGCTAGGTGTGTGTAGAGTGGGGAGGACACAGGACATGGCGTTGTATTGTACAATGATACAGCAGGCAGTGTCGGCTCTATCCTGTCACCCAGCTCTGCTCTTCCTGCAAGCACAGCCTGCCACTACCCCCTCCCACCAATCAGGGGGAAGCTGTACAGAGCCGGATGTAGAACTGCTATAGAATACGGAAGGCACCCGGAAGTTGTCAGTTACCATAGCGACAAGTGATACCTCTCTAATCGGGAACATGCCGATTATGGTGAAGGATTTCACCTGGCAGCAGACGGAGAAGGAGATTTATATATCCGTACCGGTAAAGGGAGCCAAGGCGTGCCAGAGCAATGTGCTGTGTACCGAGGACTACATCAAGGTGAGGGGACAGCAACATGGAGGATGTCACTGGTCACCTCCACCTGCTGATAATGATACATGCCTGACAGTCATGCTGCACTCCTGTAATTGCTAGACACTTGTTTGTCATGTGCATCTCTTGAATATGTTGAAAGCCTGGCTGTCACGTGCATCTTCTGCAAATGCTATACACCTGGCTGCCATAGGCACCTCCTAAAAATGCTAGCACAGTGGCTAAGTGGTTAGCACTTCTGCCTGTCAGCACCAGGGTCATCGGTTGAAATCCCAATCACAACACAGCATGGAGTTTGCATGTTCTCCCTGTGCCTGTGTGGGTTTCCTCCAGGTACTCCAGTTTCCTCCCACATTCCAAAGACATACTGGTAGGTTATTTGGCTCCTGTCTAAATTGGCCCTAGTATGTGTATTAGGAATGCAAAGTTACCAGAATCCGTGCCAATACATGAGTACTCCTACTTGTGAAAAGGCTCCTGAAACTGACATTCTGCGGTGCGATTTGCGTCAATACAAAATGTATGGATACAAACTGCACCATAAAGAATAGCATGCAATTTGAACAGGAATGCAATTCCTCTCCAAATCGCATGTGATTTCCCCATTGCTCCTGTGTGAACCCAAGCTTGTCATACAGGAGCAGTGCAGGAAACTTCCCTGCATGGATCCCATGCTGTCACAGAAAGAAAAGCTGGGGATTTAAAATCCCCGCGGCTTTCTCTCCTCTGAGTGGAGGGACAGCAGTATGGGCTAGACGGCTTTTGACTGTCAGCACCACCACGGAAGCCATCTAGCCTGTACTGTCATCCCTGCAAGGAGAGGAGAGAGCCAGCCAGGGATTTCAAATCTCCAGACCAGTGAAGCAGCTCTCTCTCCTCTCCTTTCAGGGATGACAATATGGGCTTGATGGCTTCTGATTGGTTAGCACCGTGGTGGTGCTGATCAATCAAAAGCCATGTAGCCCGTACTGTCATCCCTGCAAGGGGAGGGGGGAGAAAAGAAAGCCATGGGGATTTCAAATGCCCAACTTTTCTTTCTGCAACAGCGTGGGATCTGTGCAGGGAGGTTTCCCGCACCCCTCCTGTGTGAACTCAGGATATGACAAGCCTGGGTTCACAAGAAGCAATAGGGAAACCGCATGCAATTTTTAATAGGAATTGCATTTCTGTTCAAATCACATACTATTCTTTCCGGTGCAATTTGCGTCCATTCATTTGGTATGGACGCAAATTGTACCACAAAGTATTGGTGCATCCCTAATGTGTATGTGTGAATGTGAGTTAGGGAACTTCGATTGTAAGCTGCTTAGTCCTTAGGGATCGAACATACAATATATACATATGTAAAGCACTGTGTAAATTGATGCTGCTATATAAGTACCTGAAAATAAATGTTTACAAGAAACCAGTACTAGAAGAAGTGTAGAGGCTGACTTCAGGTTGTCCTGTTGATTCAAAAGCATTAAAGCGATTCTAAAGGTTAATTTTTTTTTTCTTGGGGGGGAAATAGCCAACATGTTACACTTGCCTACTGTGTGCAGCGGTTTTTGCACAGAGCTGCCCGAGTCCTCCTCTTCTCTGGTCCCCCGTGGGCTCTCTTGGCTCCTTTCTGTCGGGTGCCCCCACAGTAAGCAGCTTGCTATGAGGGCACCTGCTGCTCCGTGTATCCATTCACACACAGAGTCACAGCTTGGCCTTGCCCACTCGCTCCTCATTGGCTGACTGGCTGTGATTGACCGCAGCGGGAGCCAATGGCTCCCAATTGCTGTCTCAGCCAATGAGAAGGCAGAGACCCAGGACAGCTGTGCACATCGCTGGATTGAGATGAGGCTCGGGTAAGTATTAAGGGGGCTGGGGGCACTGTTGCACACAGGTTTTTTACCTCCATGCATAGAATGCATGAAGGTAAAAAACATTGAGCCTTTACAACCACTTTCAAACTAAAATCCAGGCTGCTATGTTGGAAGTGTGACTGCAGTTCTCAATGGAACATACACTATATTGCCAAAAGTATTGGGACACCCCTCCAAATCATTGGATTCGGGTGTTCCAATCACCTCCATGGCCACAGATGTATAAAATCAAGCACCTAGGCATGCAGACTGCTTCTGCAAACATTTGTGAAAGAATGGGTCGCTCTCAGGAGCTCAGTGAATTCAAGCGTGGTACCGTGATAGGTTGCCACCTGTGCAATAAGTCCATCTGTGAAATTTCCTTGCTACTAAATATTCCACGATCAACTGTTAGTGGTATTATAACAAAGTGGAAGCAACTGGGCACAAAAGCAACTCAGCCACGAAGTGGTGGGTCACATAAAATGACAGAGCGGGGTCAGCGCATGTTGAAGTGCAGAGCGCACAGAAGTTGCCAACTGTCTGTCAAGAGTCAATAGCTAAAGACCTCCAAACTTCATGTGGCCTTCAGATTAGCACAACAACAGTGCGCAGATAGCTTCATGAAATGGGTTTCCATGGCTGAGCAGCTGCCTCCAAGCCTTACATCACCAAGTGCAATGCAAAGCGTCGGATGCAGTGGCGTAAAGCACACCGCCACTAGACTCTAGAGCAGTGGAGATGTGTTCTCTGGAGTGACGAATCATGCTTCTTTGTCTGGCAATCCAATGGACGTGTTTGGCGGTTGCCAGGAGAACAGTACTTGCCTGTCTGCATTGTGTCAAGTGTAAAGTTTGGTAGAGGGGGATTATGGTGTGGTTCCATGAAGGTCCTGGCATCTAGTGGAGATCGCTGGAGTAGCGGTGTCTGCTTCAGTGATTTCTAGGGGGCTTAGCCAGGTATAGTTGGTATAGTACAGTTAGTGTCAGGAATGGACTGGCCAGCAATAGTGGGACTCAGCTGCCTTATGAGCTGCAGTACCAGGGCTGGCCAGCGGGTGCTCCCAGCAATCAGAGACTCAACCTGGCAGCCAGTCAAACCCCTGGAACTAATTATACTGGTGTATTTAAGGGACATTCAGACCTGCAGACTCTGCCTTGGTGTTGTGTTTTCTCTTGGGCCCTGTATCCTGTTCCTGCTCTCTGTTCCTGTCTGATTCTCTGCTGACCCTGCTCTGATCCCTGGCTTGTCTGACCATTCTCCTCTGCCTGACCCTTTGTACCACGCTGCCCGCTACCTGCTGAACCTGGCCTGTGACCCCGACCATTCTCCGCTTGCTCCCCCTGTACCTACCTGCCCGACTGATATTGACCCGGCTTGCCTGATGACGCTCGCGTTGTATGTACTGTTATCTGTGGGTGGTTGGTTGGTTTGTTTGCACTGTGTTAAGTTTTAGTATTGCACTGCGTTTATGTTTGTATGGTTAGTGTTAATAAATTACATTGTTTATCACATATCTGAAGTCTGCGTTTCCCTGCGTCAGTCACACACCTCTGGTCACACTTGGGAGCCCTGACATTACACCAAGGCCAATCCTGACCAGAAGTGGCTGCACAGGGAAGCCATCTTGGCTTGTTGATGGGAAGGATGGATCTGGATGAGGTTGCGTATTTATATCTGCTAGTGTTTGATGACAGGGAGTATGCTTATCAAACTCTGAAGGAGTATCCCCGGGATGAACTGCTAGAATGTATACGGATCGCTCATGTTCTAGTAGATCAGGGCACAGAGTTCTCTGAGGTGCAGCCATTGATTCAGGTTTGTGCTGAGTTGGTTTCATCTGGTTCCCCCGAATGCAGGGATGAATTTTTGCCACCATTTAGTGCAGACCAGGTAGAGTCCCTGGTGTGGTTATTAGAGGATGATGTGGATTACTTTCTGGAGCGTTATTCTGCATGTTCACCACAGACACTAAGAGATTGTATAAACGCAGTGCAGTCTTTGGTCAGACAGGCTTTGTGTAAGCTCAGCTTTGTTCAACCCATACTGCAGACATGGACAGACTTGTTGCACCCAGCCCCAGTCAGCTTACAAAAACCCAGTCCTGCTTCTAACCTATTTCCTCAAAACTCTATTCCTGCATTCCCAACAGCTCCTCCTGCCCTGCTATCTACCGCATGTCAGTACCCTGTTCCCACTCGCTGCACCTATCCTGCCTTTAACCCTGTAAAAAAGCCCTCTGTAGCAACTGCTCCCTCCCCTGTTCCATCCTCCAGTTCTTCTCTGTCTCCAGCTGCTCCATTCGTTTGCAGACCTGTGTTTACTTGCAGTGCTCCAGTAGTTAAAACCAGAAAAAAGCGAAAATTCTTTCCAACCAATACCATCCTGCCAGTATCCAAACCGGTGAACCTGCCTTCCGTGGTTCAGTCTGAAGCCTCTACTCGGCCTGATGCCTCTACTCGGCCTGATGCCTCTACTCGGCCTGAAGCCTCTACTCGGCCTGAAGCCTCTACTCGGCCTGATGCCTCTACCCAGCATGATGAACTGATCCAGCCAGACGATCCAATACCTGGTGACCCGGTGCCCACTGCCTTGCCAGATGACGCGGTGCCCGCTGGCAAGCCAAATGACCTGATGCCTGGTGACCCAGTGCCCGCTGTCATACCTGGTGACCCGATGCCCGCTGTCGAGCCAGACCACCCGGTACCTGATGACCCGGTGCCCACTGCCTTGCCAGATGATGCGGTGCCCGCTGTCGAGCCAAATGACCTGCTGCCTGGTGACCCGATGCCCGCTGTCCAGCCAGACGATCCAATGTCTGACCCAGTGCCAGCGGTCATGCCAGTTGACTCGGAGCCTACTGTCGTGCCTGGTGACTTGGTGCCCGCCGCTTCGCCTGGGGGCCCGAGACCTGTCGCTCCGCCTGGGGGTCCGGCGCCCGCCGCTCCGCCTGAGGGCCCGAGACCTGTCGCTCCGCCTGGGGGTCCGGCGCCCGCCGCTCCGCCTGAGGGCCCGAGACCTGTCGCTCCGCCTGGGGGTCCGGCGCCCGCCTCTCCGCCTGAGGGCCCGAGACCTGTCGCTCCGCCTGGGGGTCCGGCGCCCGCCGCTCCGCCTGGGGGCCCGATGCCCGTCGCTCCGCCTGAGGGCCCGAGACCTGTCGCTCCGCCTGGGGGTCCGGCGGCGCCCGCCGCTCCGCCTGGGGGCCCGATGCCCGTCGCTCCGCCTGGGGGCCCGATGCCTGTCGCTCCGCCTGGGGGCCCGGCGCCTGTCGCCCCTCCTGGGGGCCCGGCGCCTGTCGCCCCTCCTGGGGGCCCGGCGCCTGTCGCCCCGCCTGGGGGCCCGCTGCTCCGCCGGGGGCCCGCTGCCTGCCGCCCCGCCCCGGGGGCCCGCCCGCTGCCTGCCGCCCCGCCCGGGGGCCCGGTGCCTGCCGCCCCGCCCGGGGGCCCGGTGCCTGCCGCCCCGCCCGGGGGCCCGCTGCCTGCCCGCCCCCGGGGGCCCGGTGCCTGCCGCTCGGCCCGGTGCCTGCCGCTCCGCCCGGGGGCCCGGTGCCTGCTGCTCGGCCCGGTGCCTGCCGCTCCGCCCGGGGGCCCGGTGCCTGCCGCTCCGCCCGGGGGCCCGGTGCCTGCCGCTCCGCCCGGGGGCCCGGTGCCTGCCGCTCCGCCTGGGGGCCCGCTGCCTGCCGCTTCGCCTGGTAATCCGGTGTGCCTCTGCCCGGAGTCCAGCCCGGTGTGCCTCTGCCCGGAGTCCAGCCCGGTGTGCCTCTGCCCGGAGTCCAGCCCGGTGTGCCTCTGCCCGGAGTCCAGCCCGGTGTGCCTCTGCCCGGAGTCCAGCCCGGTGTGCCTCTGCCCGGAGTCCAGCCCGGTGTGCCTCTGCCCGGAGTCCAGCCCGGTGTGCCTCTGCCCGGAGTCCTGCCCGATGTGCCTCTGCCCGGTGTGCCGCTGCCCGGAGTCCTGCCCGGTGTGCCAGTCTTTGATATCCCGCCAGTTACCAGACCCGGGCGGTGGAACATTTTGACCAACTAGGACTGTTTGGAGCGTCCTGAGGCTGCTCCTTGAGGGGGGGGTACTGTCGGGAATGGACTGGCCAGCAATAGTGGGACTCAGCTGCCTTATGAGCTGCAGTACCAGGGCTGGCCAGCGGGTGCTCCCAGCAATCAGAGACTCAACCTGGCAGCCAGTCAAACACCTGGAACTAATTATACTGTGTATTTAAGGGACATTCAGACCTGCAGACTCTGCCTTGGTGTTGTGTTTCTCTTGGGCCCTGTATCCTGTTCCTGCTCTCTGTTCCTGTCTGATTCTCTGCTGACCCTGCTCTGATCCCTGGCTTGTCTGACCATTCTCCTCTGCCTGACCCTCTGTACCACGCTGCCCGCTACCTGCTGAACCTGGCCTGTGACCCCGACCATTCTCCGCTTGCTCCCTCTGTACCTACCTGCCCGACTGATATTGACCCGGCCTGCCTGATGACGCTCGCATTGTATGTACTGTTATCTGTGGGTGGTTGGTTGGTTTGTTTGCACTCTGTTATGTTTTAGTATTGCACTGCGTTTTATGTTTGTATGGTTAGTGTTAATAAATTACATTGTTTATAACATATCTGAAGTCTGCGTTTCCCTGCGTCAGTCACACACCTCTGGTCACACCCCGGAGCCCTGACAGTTAGGTCCATATATATGTGGACAGAGGCACAATTTTCATACTTTTGGCTCTGTATGCCACCAGCATAAATTAAAACAAAACAATCCAAATGAATTTGAATTGCAGACTTTCAGCTTTAATTCAAGGGGTTGAACATACATATCAAGTACAAATTTTAGAAACTGCAACCATTTTTATACACAGTCCCTCTATTTTCAGGGGCTTAAATGTAATTGGACAAATATAATCATAAATAAAATATTCGTTGTTAATATTTTGTTGAGCATCCTTTACTGGCAATGACTGCCTGAAGTCTGGAACCCATGGACATCTGCAGCGGTCTTCAATTGTTCTTTGTTTGTGGGTCTTTCTGCCTTTAGTTTTGCCTTCAGCAAGTGAAATGCATGCTCAATTGTGTTGAGATCAGGTGACTGACTTGGCCATAGCAGAATATTCCACTTCTTTTCCTACAAAAGCTCCTGGGTTGCTTTTGCAGTATGTTTTGGATCATTGTCCATCTGTACTGTCCAATCAACTTATCTGCATTTGGCTGAATCTGGGCGAAAGTATATCTCTAAACACTGCAGAATTAATCTGGCTACTTCGGTCTTCTGTCACATCATCAATAAACATCAATGACCCAGTGCCACTGTAAGTCATGCATGCCCATGCAATCACACTGCCTCCACCATGTTTTACAGATGGCGCTGTGTGCTTTGGATCATGAGCTGTTTCAAGCCTTTTCCACACTTTTTTCTTCCCATCATTCTGGTGCAGATTAATCTTAGTTTCATCCGTCCAAAGAATGCTTTTCCAGAACTGGTCTGGCTTTTTTAGATTTTTTTGGCAAGTCTAATCTGGCTTTTCTATTCTTCAGGCTTATGAATGGTTTGCACCTTGTGGTGAACCCTCTGTATTTGCTGGAGAGTGTCCTTCACTTGTCTGGATGTTGTGAATGGGTTTTTCTTTACCATAGAGAGGATCCTGCGATCATCCACCACTGTTGTCTTCCACGGATGTCCATGCCTTTTTTATGTTGCTGAGCTCACCAGTGCATTCTTCTTTCCTTAGAATGTACCAAACTGTTGATTTGGCCACTCCTAATGTTGATGCTATCTCTTTATTTAATTTGTTTAGTTTTTGAAGCTTTACAATGGCCTGTTTCACTTGCACGGACAACACATGATGTAGGTTTACAGCAATAGATTCCAAATGCAAATACCACACTTAGAATCAACTCCAGACTTTTACCTGCTTAATTGATGAAAAAAACTAAAATTGTGCCTGTGTCCAAATATACAGTATCTCACAGAAGTGAGCACACCCCTCACATTTTTGTAAATATTTTATGATATCTTTTCATGTGACAACACTGAAGAAATTACACTTTGCTACAATGTAAAGTAGTGAGTGTACAGTTTGTATAACAATGTAAATTTGCTGTCCCCTCAAAATAACTCAACACAGCCATTAATGTCTAAACCGCTGGCAACAAAAGTGAGTACACCCCTAAGTGAAAATGTCCAAATTGGGCCCAATTAGACATTTTCCGTCCCCGGTGTCATGGCACTCATTAGTGTTACAAGGTCTCAGGTGTGTTAAATTTGGTGTTATTCCTCTCACTCTCTCATACTGGTCACTGGACGTTCAACATGGCACCTCATGGCAAAGAACTCTCTGAGGATCTGTTGCTCTACATAAGAATTGTTGCTCTACATAAAGATGGCTTAGGCTATAAGAAGATTGACAAGACCCTGAAACTGAGCTGCAGCACAGTGGCCAAGACTATACAACGGTTTAACAGGACTGGTTCCACTCAGAACAGGCCTCGCCATGGTCGACCAAAAAAGTTGAGTGCATATGCTGAGCGTCATATCCAGAGGTTGTCTTTGGGCAATAGACGTATGAGTGCTGCCAGCATTGCTGCAGAGGTTGAAGGGGTGGGGGGTCAGCCTGTCAGTGCTCAGACCATATGCCTCACACTGCATCAAATTGGTCTGCATGGCTGTCATCCCAGAAGGAAGCCTCTTCTAAAGATGATGCACAAGAAAGCCCACAAACATTTTGCTGAAGACAAGCAGACTAAGTACATGGATTACTGGAACCATGTCCTGTGGTCTGATGACACCAAGATAAACTTATTTGGTTTAGATGGTGTCAAGCGTGTGTGGCGGCAACCAGGTGAGGAGTACAAAGACAAGTGTGTCTTGCCTACAGTCAAGCATGGTGGTGGGAATGTCATGGTCTGGAGCTGCATGAGTGCTGTCAACATTGGGGAGCTACAGTTCATTGAGGGAACCATGAATGCCAACATGTACTGTGACATACTGAAGCAGAGTATGATCCTCTCCCTTCGGAGACTGGGCCGCAGAGCAGTATTCCAGCATGATAACGACCCCAAACACACCTCCAAGACGACCACTGCCTTGCTAAAGAAGCTGAGGGTAAAGGTGATGGACTGGCCAAGCATGTTTCCAGACCTAAACCCTATTGAGCATCTGTGTGGCATCCACTAATGGAAGGTGGAGGAGCGTAAGGTCTCTAACATCCACCAGCTCCATGATGTCGTCATGGAGGAGTGGAAGAGGACTCCAGTGGCAACCTGTGACGCTCTGGTGAACTCCATGCCCAAGAGGGTAGGGGCAGTGCTGGAAAATAATGGTGGTCACACAAAATATTGACACTTTGGGCCCAATTTGGACATTTTCACTTAGGGGTGTACTCACTTTTGTTGCCAGCGGTTTAGACATTAATGGCTGTGTTGAGTTATTTTGAGGGGACATCAAATTTACACTGTTATACAAGCTGTACACTCACTACTTTACATGGTAGCAAAGTGTCATTTCTTCAGTGTTATCATATGAAAAGATCTAATAAAATATGTACAAAAATGTGAGGGGTGTACTCACTTCTGTGAGATACTGTATATGGACCTAACTGTATATACAGTACATAGTTACATTGGTCCAAGATGGACCAAGGTAACCATGTATAAAATATCCACACCTGGAATGGTAAAGGGGCAGAACACAGTCTTAAAATATGGAAACTATGCTCTGTTCCTTCACTGTTCGTAATAGGTAAAGATTACATTGTAACTACATAATAAGAAGATGAATACTACTGACATGGCTCTGGATTGACTATGGTGAGTTAAAGACTGAAAGGCAGAGATTGGTGGATGCTGAGCTACCTTTTTCATTTATCTTACAATAAGGAATAACAACATGTTTCTCTTTTCTTTGTAATATATAGGTGAATTTTCCTCCATTCTTGTTTGAATTATTTCCACTGTTGCCTATTGATGTTGACAAAAGTAGTGCAAAGATTGGCAATGGAGTCATCCTCTTTACCCTACATAAGCAGGAGCCATCTATTTGGGACACCCTGTCTAATGCTAATAGTAAGTACTTTCCATACTGTGCGTGTCATTTGTTCATTTTTTTTGCAGCAACACTGAGCAAAACAAGAGCAGTAAGACTGGATTTACTATGAGTTGCATCTTGGATAATACATTCCTTCCCCTGCTTCTTATGTGTAGTACAGCACTAGTACAAAGCCTTTTCCACAACCACTTCCTAAGTGCTTGTAATTCAGCCACTAAACCATCTTTGGGCTGATTCACATGTTTAGCTTTTAGTTCTGCCCCTCTGAAAAGTGATCTATGGTAGTGTTTACTAGGTGAAGATGCGATGTGTCTCCTGCTCCCTGCCTGTTTGTGCCCTCAAAATGCAGACCCACCGTGCTGCTACTGCATGGTTGCAGGGCAGTTGCAGTGTGGCCCCATTAACTTGAACAAGGCTTGCCATATAATTTTTTCTCTGGCTGCAAAGCAAATCATCGTGTTTGTGGCATGTGTACAGCCCTGGGCGGCTGCATCTCTGTGTTTACATGGGATGATGGGGTGATAAAACTGCAACTCAACCACCTACTTTTACATCTACCTGGTCGCCCGTGTAAACAAGCTTGTGTTTTTATACCAACACCAGCTATGCAGTATATTGTTTAGGATAGTTTTATATGAGGATTTCAGGATTGGAACTTACTAGTCCATTTGAATAGGGGTGCATATTGAACATCAATTAAATATATACTGTATATTACAAAAAAACTGACCTTCAGTACTCTTTATATCTGAAGAAGTCAGAGGGCTCAAGCTGGCTATACACTACTTGACTTGCGGCTGATTCCTGCTGAATTGGCTGAAATTTGAGCTGGGGTTGGTCCTTTTGGCAGTTGCCCACAAATCCCCTCCTGCTTCACAAAAGTTGAAAGAACAGTTCCAAAGATTCTTAGCCGAACAGCCCTTGCTTCCAATCAGATGCAAGCACTGTTCAGGTATTCAGCAGTGGCTGCTGAATGCAATAGCCAGCAGATGATATTCCTGTATCCACACTGCTTAGCATAGACGGGGTAATCATTGGATTTCTCTCATTCAGCCCACTGGACTGAACAAGAGAATTCAAAGTGTGCATGGCCAGTTTCATTGTGCAGGTGTGGCCTGGCTGAAGATGCTTTTTGTAAAAATTTGGAGCAGGTAAGTAAACAGCTTGGTAGAGGAATTTAGTTTGGATTCCTCTTATTCGTAAGCTGGCCATACATAGTTTTTTTTTTTTTTTTCAGATTCCTCCATCTACACAAACAAGGTGGATGAAGGAGCCCCCCTCCTGCTGGCTGCCCGGGACTTTGTATTCTGACAGCAGGATCTTCTACTTGGCTGCTGCCATGAAAAAGAGTTTCCAGCATGTCCCTTCAGCATAAATCAATCAAACGATCGACTTCTGTTAAGCGGGGACAGGCACACACTGATTAAAATGTTCCCAGTTCAGTGTCTGGCCAGCTTTATTATTTTATAATGCAGGGTTTGTATAGAGCAAACAGTTTGGGCAGCAATTCTCCATATAAAGGAAGACAATACAGGTAAAATACAATTCAAGACAAGAGGGCTAAGCTGGCCATACATGGCCTATTGCCTGCAGTGCTGATCTATCAACTTTTATTCGACTGGGATGTTGAACAGATGTTGATTGGTAGATCGACTTGTGTTCAACTGCAGTGGCCATGCGTAGAACGAAATTCTGAACTGGCCCAATTTCAATCCATCTAGGGCCAGCTTTAGAAGAGTGTAGACTAGTTTTGCAAGACTGGGAAAGGGAAGGTCACCAAGTTTTATTAAAGAATATGTAAACCCAACATTTCAAATTCCTGATGCTTTCTGTACCATATACTTTTATGAAAAAGTATCCTGTTCTCTTTGTATCGGTTCCTTTGTTTTAAATCCCTAGTGTTCCTGCCAGTTCCTCTGCTTTCCTATTGAAAAATGACCACACTAGGCATGAGAGCACAGTGTGGTCAGTTCTCTAGTTCTGCTGGGAACTCAGTGTACTCCCCTCCAATCATCATACTTCTGCTGACACACCCCCTCCGCATACAGCCTTTCACTGTGAATATCGGTGTTCTGCTATTTCTCCTCCACCACTTCTCTATACAGCTGAGAACAGAGGGAATGTGATCACTTATAAAAAAGGGAAAAAAGATATTTGTAATGTTATTTTCTATCTATATGCAAAGGTTTTAACCTTTCATTTCTATTTTAAACTGAATGAGTTGTTTTACAAGGTGAAGGGTTTACAATCACTTTCAATGACAGCTGTTCTTGAACAAAATAAAAAAATATTCAGATATGTTATGGTGACTAATGCTGATCTTTTATGCTCACTTATGCAAACATCCTGAAATACATGTTTAGCTACAAATAAATGTTTTATTTTATATTTCTTAATTTTTAGTGGATAAGGATGCAATGCAGAAAGTCAGAGAGAAAGCTATTGCTAGAGTGCAGGAGAAAGCTAAAGAAGATGCAGAGGCTAGAGCGATACGTAAGAGAGAAAACGAGAAGTACTCTCTGGAGGTCATGATGAAGGTTGGTAACATACATGTCTGATTTAATATAAAGGAGACCATATCTTGCCATTACTTAACATTCCAATGCGAGACTGAAGCATGCATTTGTAGAGATGCTTCACGTTGCTCTCCAATGCGGGGGAGGAACTAACTTGACTGATTACTTCTTATGCCTCACTGTTGTACAGCAAATTACAGGCTTTTTTTCTTACTTGAAGTACAGGTGCAAAATCACATGTATTTGGCCCCATAGACTTTTAGATAGTAGCACCTGAAAAATGTGCATAGTCAATCCTATGGGGGCAAAAACAAGCAATTCTGCCCTAAAGAAGCTCATGTATTTTTTTTCCAGGTTAATTTTTTTCAAAAAGCTAAGGGTTATATTAGGTGTTACCTAGCACCACATCCCATAATGCATAAGCAGATAAATGTCTGTCAATCAAGACAGCACAAAAGGTATTGAGGACTTTATTGGTGTGTTACCTCTCAAAGACACACATGCATCAACAAATTAAATAGCAAATGTTATTGATATCAATCCAACCCGACATACCAGGTTAATAGATACTAAAATCCATCCAACAAAGCACAAAATGAGTTAAGAACATATGCTTGGTACTGAACATGACCGCTATTATTTATAGCCCCATCAACAGCACATACATACATACATACATAGTGAGGAGCAGAAGTATTTGAACACCCTGCGATTTTGCAAGTTCTCCCACTTAGAAATCATGGAGGGGTCTGAAATTCACATTGTAGGTGCATTCCCACTCTGAGAGACAGAATTAAAAAAAAAAAAAAAATTCAGGAAATCACATTGTATGATTTTAAAGAATTTATTTGTCTTGCACTGCTGAACATAAGTATTTGAACACCTAAGAAAATCAGTGTTAATATTTGGTACAGAAGCCTTTGTTTGCAATTACAGAGGTCAAACGTTTCCTGTAGTTCTTGACCAGGTTTGCACACACTGCAGCAGGGATTTTGGCCTACTCCTCCACACAGATCTCCTCTAGATCTGTCAGGTTTCGGCGCTGTCGCTGAGCAACACAGAGTTTCAGCTCCCTCCAAAGATGTTCTATTGGATTATGGTCTGGAGACTGGCTGGGCCACTTCAGAACCTTGATATGCTTCTTACGGAGCCACTCCTTGGTTATCCTGGCTCTGTGCTTCGGGTCATTGTCATGTTGGAAGACCCAGCCACGACCCATCTTCAATGCTCTGACTGAGGGAAGGAGGTTGTTGCTCAAAATCTCACAATAAATAGCCCCATTCATCCTCTCCTTAATACAGTGCAGTCGTTTTGTCCCCTTTGCAGAAAAGCACCCCCAAAGCATGATGTTACCACCCCCATGCTTCACAGTAAGGATGGTGTTCTTGGGATGCAACTCATCCTTCTTTTTCCTCCAAACTCGACGAGTGAAGTTTAGGCCAAAAAGTTCTATTTTGGTCTCATCTGACCACATGACTTTCTCCCATGCCTCCTCTGGATCATCCAGATGGTCATTGGCAAACTTCAGACGGGCCTGGACATGTGATGACTTGAGCAGGAGAACCTTCCGTGCAATGCATGATTTGAAACCATGACAGAGTAGTGTTCTAGTGAAGTGACCTTTGAAACTGTGGTCCCAGCTCTCTTCATGTCATTGACCAACTCCTCCCTTGTAGTTCTGGGCTGATTCCTCACCTTTCTTATCATCAGTGATACCCCACAAGGTGAGATCTTGCATGGAGCCCCAGTCCAAGTGAGACTGACAGTCGTTTTTAGCCTCTTCCATTTTCTAACAATTTCTCCAACAGTTGATCTATTTTCACCAAGCTGCTTGGCAATTGCCCCGTAGCCCTTTCCAGCCTTATGGAGGTCCACAGTTTTGTCTCTGGTGTCTTTTGACAGCTCTTTGGTCTTGCCCATGGTAGTAGTTGGCGTCTGACTGACTGTGGGGTGGACAGGTGTCTTTAAAGAGCTCAGACAGGTGCTACTAAGTTAGATTAATGAGTGGAGTAGAGGTGGACTTTTTAAAGGCACAGTAACAGGTTTTTGAGAGCCAGAATTCTTGCTGTTTCTTAGGTGTTCAAATACTTCAGTTCAGCAGTGCAAGACAAATAAATTCTTTAAAAATTATACAATGTGATTTCCTGAATTTTCTTTTAACATTCTGTCTCTCATAGTGAGAATGCACCTACAATGTGAATTGCAGACCCCTCCATGATTTCTAAGTGGGAGAACTTGCAAAATCGCAGGGTGTTCAAATACTTCTGTTCCTCACTGTACATATAAATGTTACATCTAACTGCTCTAGGAAAAGCGTATTGGCCCACCGGATGTATACTGGTTCAATATAAAATATAGTTCATATGCCTTGAAGGGGTTACTATATCTTGCCACATTGTACAGATGTGCTTCTTCAGGAGCGGGGTGTTCAAAAAAAGTATGTAGGATGTTGATGGCCAGTGAAAGGCAATTTGAACCGAGCTTCCTAACTAAATGGGAACATGAATTGTACACGATGCTCAAAAAAGAGAATCCTGCTATTTGCTCATAAAGCCTTATTAGCAAACACTTACTAAGAAAATGGATATAAAATACTCACAAGGTGGTACAAAATGGCTCAAAGTGCCCAGTGCTAACCGCTTTCTGGTCTGAAGCCAAGCGCTTTATCAAAAATCTTACTAGATGGTCCCTGATGGCAGATTCACCACATATCTTTTACATGATATGCAAATATTTTACAAATGCTGTAAAAACTCACTTCTGAGACAGCTGAATGCAGCAAAAGTGTGCATAGTGGCTTTATGGAAAACCACTGACTCGCCCACCATAGAACACTGGGGCGCTAGGGTATTAGACATCCAACTTATGGGAACAATTAACCGTATTTCTCAAAGACAAATCTGAAAAACATTTAAAAATCTAGATACCGAGGTAGTTATATACTGACTCCCTATAAGCTGCCTTGTCACTGCTTTTATCCTCTAATCAGATTATTTCCCTACCCCTCTGGTTTATGTTTTAGTATTATTTTGTAAAAAACAGACCACTACAGGGACGTGATGCAGCCACAATGAAAATTCTGTAAGCCTGTTTTGTTTGATGAATGTTTGATGACTTCTGTCAAACTGACTTGTTGGAAAACTTCTATTCGACCAGCGGCTGCAGCTAATGCGCTGTAGCTGTTGATCAGTGTATTCTGACAGCAGACAGTTCCAGCTGTCAGAATACAGTGTCTCAGCGGTGAGGATTCCTCTATTCCACCTTGATTGCACAGATGGAGGAATCCATCTGTGTCCAGCCCTAGACTGTACTTACAGATGGTGTTGGTAAACGGTGAGTGTCTTAAAGGAATTCTAACCACAAATTACACACACTGGAATTTTTGAATAAATAGGAAGTACAAAAAAGTGGTTCACTGAGATGCCTCTTGTTGTGTTTTATGGCTATCAGCTGTTTCTAAATGCTTCTTTGGGGCACAGTGAGGAAGTGAGAGGAGCACTCCCCGACATGGATACATACAGAAATAAAATCTGACAGAGGTTTAACTCTTCTGCACTGCATCCAAAACTGGACTTTTTGGGAAACGTATATCAGAAATAAAACATGATCACAATAGCAGTAAACACCTGGCCGAACTGTAATAAACACCGGGCTGACCTGAAGCATAAAGTGTGAAAATCAACAAAAACAGTATTAAATGATTGTAAAACAAATGAGGATCCAGTGGGATTCATATTGAGCATATTGACTTATATTTTCTATGGGTCAGCTGTTAAGGTGAGCATGCATGCCTGAAGGTGGAGGAGCACGATAGGTTTGCACACCTGTTGAAGTCACTGGTGCATTACTTTAATGTTGGAAGAAAGAGACTGTTATATCACTTTTGGACTGCAATTTGCACTTTATTAAGTGTTCTCTATCATTCATCATTTCTCTGGTTTTTGTATATATTCAGTAGAGCTGCTTGGCTCTTCTTCTCCTTCTCCCTCTACTTCTTTTCCCTCTTCTTCTTCTCCCTCTTCTTCTTCTCCCTCTTCTTCTTCTCTTCTTCTTCTCTCCTTCTCTCTTCTTCTTCCTTCTCCCTCTTCTTCTTCTTCCTTCTCCTTCTTCTTCTTCTTCCTTCTCCTCTCTTCTTCTTCTCTCTCCCTCTTCTTCTTCTCTTCTCCCTCTTCTTCTTCTTCTCTCTCCCTCTTCTTCTTCTTCTCTCCCTCTTCTTCTTCTTCCTTCTCCCTCTTCTTCTTCTTCCTTCACCCTCTTCTTCTTCTCTCTCCCTCTTCTTCTTCCTTCTCCCTCTTCTTCTTCCTTCTCCCTCTTCCTTCTCCCTCTTCTTCTTCCTTCTCCTTTTTTTTTTTAATGCACTTTTTGTGAACATCTAGCTTAGTTGAACATTTACTTGACTCATCACATATTTATTCCACTGGGGGGCTGATTGCTCAGCTGGGCATTCATTTTACAATCATTTAATACTGTTTTTGTTGATTTTCACACTTTATGCTTCAGCTCAGCCAGGTATTTATTACAGCGCGGCCAGGTGTTTACTGCTATTGTGTTTACATTTTATTTGTGATATACGTTTCACATATTTTACTGTTTTTTTTAATGGTTTTTACACTTTATTCTTCAGCTCAGCTGGGTGTTTATTATATGTTGTCCAGGTGTTTATTGCTACTTGATTTTGGTTTATTTTTGATAGATGTTTTACATATCATTTGGATTTAGTGGCTCAGCCAGTTTTGTATTCACTATTGACTTTATTTCACAGATTTATTCTATTACACATGGGGTTTGATGCTCAGGAGGGTGTTTATGTATTATTAGTGTATTTTTTGGGTCACTAGAGGGCAGCGCAGCACTCTTCTTGGGGAGTTTTATTGATGTGGGAACACATTTAGGTGCTTGCAGCAGCTTATCATTTATTTGTGGTAGCGCATGAGTATCTTATCCTTATCTTTGGGTGACGTTACCCTTCATCCACATAAACAAAATGGGCCATAGTAAGCCTATAGGTGATGTCCCTGCTCCAAGCTTTACTAGTTGTCGAAAACTCTCTGCTCTCCCCTGCAGCTGACTGCAATTACATCAAACTTGTGTGGGTTTGTTGTGGGAACTGCATGAATTACTAACCTGTCTTGTTTTTTATCTGAAAGATTTCTCTTAGATCATGGTTAATTTTTACGAGTAATCAATAAAGCTGTATAATGTTTTAATAACTGTATTTTTTTTTTAATTTTTCCCTACAAATAAAGAAATTCATCTCCACCATATTCTGTTGATATGATTACATACTGATAGATTTGTATCGCATATATGGGGCGTCATATTCACATTGATATAAATAAAAACAAATGTTCAAATCATTTTATATTTTTTAAGATTGACGAAGAAGAAAGAAAACGAATAGAAACTATTAAAGAAGAAGAAAGGTGGAAAGCGAGTGAAGAGCTGGAAAGGTTTAAAGAACAAAGAACAGAAGAAGAGCAGAGGAAAATCCAGAAGGAGCAGCAGAGGAGAGAGGAAGAGAAGAGAAAAAATGCTATAAACAAATCCAAAAATGCTAATAATCAAAAACCCCATCTACAAGGTAAACTAGTTATTATTGGTGACTGTCACTTAAATAAAATAATGTGTTAAAGTGACAATGAACTATTTCTGTATTCTCCAACTATCATTCATAGACATCTCTACTTTAACCACTTGCCTATCGGGCACTTTTATCCCCTTCCTGCCCAGGCCAACTTTCAGCTTTCAGTGCTGTTGCACTTTGAATGACAATTACGCGGTCATGCAACACTACCCAAACAAAAGTTTTATCATTTTGTGAGACATACAGAGCTTTCTTTTGGTGGTATTTAATCACCACTGAGTTTTTCTTATTTTTTTGCTAAATAAACTAAAACATACTGAACATTTTGAAAAAAAAGTTTTTTTCTTAGTTTCTGTTATACAATTTTGTAAATAAGTAATTTTTCTTCTTCACTGATGTGCGCTAATGAGGTTGCAGTGATGGGCACTGATAGGCAGCACTGATGGGCATTGACAGGCAGCACTGATGGGCACTGAAGGGCAGTATTCATATATAGCACTGATAGGCGGCACTGACAGGTGACACTGATTGGAACTGATAGGTGGCACTGAAAGGCAGCTCTGATGGGCAGTGATATGTGGCATTGATGAGCACTGGTATGTGGCATTGATGGGCACTAACAGGTGGCACTGATGGGGTTCCACTGATAACACTGTTCAACAAATTTTTATTTTTTTGCCAGTTTTGGAAACAAAAGGATCCATTTCTTAATGAATTTCACATTCTGAGTTCAAATATAACAATGAAATTTGTCAATTGGCTCCAGTTTTTCTGTAAACGGAAAGTTTTCTACTATAGGCGTAATGACTACATAATGCACAATAATTATATAGATAGATGTCTTTCCACAAATATAAAGCAAGTGATATTGACTACATAACAAAGCCTAAATGGCATAATATATTGCATAGGATTACCAAGAAAAATTATAGCCATAAGCTAAGTTGAATCATTTTAATACTTAGGATTCTCACTAGTTTTGTCTTCAGTTTGTGTCGGTTTTGCTTCTCTTGGCTTTTCTCTTGTATTCGAGGAAAGGGCTATCTCTTACAACTGCACGTGACTACATGCTTCAGGTTCTTCCTCACTTGACTCAACCACGAAGGATTCTGGTGCTTTAGGAATTGGTAGCCCCTCTCCATGAGGAACTGGACGTATTGCCGATGGAATATTTGGATAGTGCACAGATAACTTTTTCTTCTTATTTAGCCCTTTTACAATTGGAGGCACCATACAAAAGTAACAATTACTAACATGATCTGTTGGCTCGCTCCAAATCATTGGCACAGCGAGAGGCATAGATGCCTTTTTTCCATTCAACCATTGCTCCAGTGCCGTCCCACAAGAATTGCAGCATATATGTGGTGCCCAGCTCTTGTCCTGGTCTCCTATCTTGCAGCCAAAATACAAGTTGTAGGCTTTCTTAATCATTCCTGTTATCCTCCTTTTTTGTGAGATAAAAGTTATTTCACCGCAGATATAGCAGAAATTATCTGCTTTATTCACACAAGTTCGAGGCATTACTGAGTAGCCTATATAAGCATAAAACGAAATGTAAAGACGCTGTCGAACTACAATCAGCTACAGATACTGCAGCTTTTATGCAGTGAAGTGATGCAATTAAAGGCTAATATTGCATTCATGCATCATCTCAGTATACATGCAATTTTCTATTGGTCACCAGTATCAATTGCGCAATATGCAGCTGAAGTTGCATCATAATTTTGAATGGCTTACGTCATTAGATGGGTGAATATATCATGGAAACTAGAGCCAATCAACATTTTTTAGGGTCATTTTCGTTTTCAGCACCCCAAAATTATGTAAGATTAGCTAATTTTATGCCCAAAAACTTTTTACCTGTTGAACAGTGTAATCGGGTAGATGTCCCCTCTGAGGAACGCCGCTTACCAGCTTTCCTCTCCTCACGTGCAGTCAGGGTGAGAAGAGGACTGCCGATAACTGGCATTTCTTTTTTACATGCGATCAGTTGTGATTGGACACAGTTGATCATATGATAGAGCCTGTGTCATCGGCTCTTTACTGCGATCGGTGATCCGCTTTGTCCCAGGGACACAGTGCACCACCAATCGTCGTGCTGCTCACCCCTGGGGGTGCACATGCACAGCTAGAGTGGAAGGACGTCCTTTGACGTCTCCCAGAACAAGAGAGCCACTGCCTGTCCGTCATTTACTTATATGGTGGGTGGGAGGCGGTTAATGTCCCTATAATTTATTCTTTGTTAAATAATTTCTCACTGTGTTTTTCTGCTTCTTGGTAACGTCACTGTGAGGTCTCAAACTTCTCCTTCCCCCCCTCACTTCTGTTTGTTTGGAACGAACAGTGCACTTTAGTTGTTGTGGTCATGTGTACTGTTCTATCCACACTACAAATACCATTTTCTAAGGTCCCCAGTCCTTCCCAGGAGTGAGCAAAAGAGGATGGCTACATTCCTACATACAATGGGATTAGGAAGAACAAGCGTAGCCACCCTCTAACACAGTGGTTCTCAACCTTTCTAACGCCGCGACCCCTTAATACAGTTCCTCATGTTGTGGTGACCCCCAACCATAAAATTATTTTCGTTGCTACTTCATAACTGTAATTTTGCAGTAGGAGGAATAGTGCCACGTCATTGGTATCAGTGGGAGGAATAGTGCCCCGTCATTGGTATCAGTGGGAGGAATAGTGCCCCCGTCATTGGTATCAGTGGGAGGAATAGTGCCACGTCATTGGTATCAGTGGGAGGAATAGTGCCCCGTCATTGGTGTCAGTGGGAGGAATAGTGCCCCGTCATTGGTGTCAGTGGGAGGAAGAGTGCCCCCTTCATTGGTGTCAGTGGGAGGAATAGTGCCCCGCCATTGGTGTCAGCGGGAGGAATAGTGCCCCGTCATTGGTGTCAGTGGGAGGAATAGTGCCCCGTCATTGGTGTCAGTGGGAGGAATAGTGCCCCGTCATTGGTGTCAGTGGGAGGAATAGTGTCCCATCATTGGTATCAGTGGGAGGAATAGTGCCCCATCATTGGTGTCAGTGGGAGGAATAGTGCCCCATCATTGGTATCAGTGGGGGGGGAATAGTGTCCCATCATTGGTATCAGTGGGAGGAATAGTGCCCCATCATTGGTGTCAGTGGGAGGAATAGTGCCCCATCATTGGTATCAGTAGGAGGAATAGTGCCCCATCATTGGTATCAGTGGGGGGGAATAGTGTCCCATCATTGGTATCAGTGGGAGGGAATAGTGCCCCATCATTGGTGTCAGTGGGAGGAATAGTGCCCCATCATTGGTATAAGTTGGAGGAGGAATAGTGCCCCATCCTTGGTGTCAGTGGGGGGAGGAATACTGCCCCATCCTTGGTGTCAGTGGGGGGAGGAATAGTGCCCCATCCTTGGTGTCAGTGGGGGGAGGAATAGTGCCCCATCCTTGGTGTCATTGGGCCGAGGAATAGTGCCCCATCCTTGGTGTCAGTGGGGGGAGGAATAGTGCCCCATCCTTGGTGTCAGTGGGGGGAGGAATAGTGCCCCATCCTTGGTGTCAGTGGGGGGAGGAATAGTGCCCCCATCCTTGGTGTCAGTGGGGGGAGGAATAGTGCCCCATCCTTGGTGTCAGTGGGGGGAGGAATAGTGCCCCATCCTTGGTGTCAGTGGGGGGAGGAATCGTGCCCCATCGTTGGTGTCAGTGGGGGGAGGAATCGTGCCCCATCCTTGGTGTCATTTGGGGGGAGGAATCGTGCCTCATCGTTTGTGTCAGTGGGAGGAATAGTGTCCCATCGTTGGTGTCAGTGGGAGGAATAGTGCCCCATCGTTGGTGTCAGTGGGAGGAATAGTGCCCCATCATTGGTGTCAGTGGGAGGAATAGTGCCCCATCATTGGTATCAGTGGAGGAATAGTGTCCCATCGTTGGTGTCAGTGGGAGGAATAGTGCCCCATCATTGGTGTCAGTGGGAGGAATAGTGTCCCATCATTGGTGTCAGTGGGAGGAATAGTGCCCCATCATTGGTGTCAGTGGGAGGAATAGTGCCCCATCATTGGTGTCAGTGGGAGGAATAGTGCCCCATCATTGGTGTCAGTGGAAGGAATAGTGCCCCATCATGGGTGTCAGTGGGAGGAATAGTGCCCCATCATTGGTGTCAGTGGGAGGAATAGTGCCCCATCATTGGTGTCAGTGGGAGGAATAGTGCCCCATCATTGGTATTAGTGACACCAATGATGGGGCACTATTCCCACTGACACCAATGATACTTACCTTGCAGACCCCTGCTCCAGCCTGGGCTCGCTCGCTCCCTCCCTCTCCCATGGTACCAACACTTACCTGTCAGATGTCTTCCTTCTCCGGCCGCTCTCCTCCTCCTCACCCGCTCGATCTTCGCGGTGCCCGCTCGGCTCCTCCTCTCCAAGCTCCACCTCTTTGCCGGTGATTGGCCGCCTGTGTGCCTCTCCTGAGCTACAGTGCCGGCGGCCAATCACAGGCGAGGATTGATCTCGAGGTGTGTCCAGATGACAGGGGCGGCATGTCATCCCGCCCCACACCTGGAGACGGCGGTGGCGGCGGCGAGGAGCGGTGTCTCGGTTCCTAAGACCATCGGAAATATGTGTTTTCCGATGGTCTTAGGCGACCCCTGTGGAAGCGTCGTTCGACCCCCAAAGGGGTCGCGACCCCCAGGTTGAGAACCGCTGCTCTAACAGGAAGTCAGGTCGCAGCAGCAAAAACAAAGGGGGGGGGGGGGGGTTTGGAGGAGACTTAGAGCAAGAGAGGATTCTTTTTAGTTAAGAATACATACCTGAATACATTTTTTTAAAACTAAAGTTAAGTGTTACTTTAAACCTAGTGCAGCAATACATGGCACCTATATCTGTATTGCAGTGATGAGTGTTATGGATGTATGCTTCTTTTCATCATCACCTTTTATTACATGATTGGGTGAAGTTGCCTAGAGAGATATCATGCTAACAGATTAGGAGCATGCTAAATAATAATTTTCCCAATATGAACAGTCCTG